ACAGCCGGCAGCCTGCTGAACGCGAGGGAAGAAATCAACGTAGCTCGTTGATGGCGTGACGAACTCGATCGTCACCCTCTGGTAGTCGTCGAGCTGCGCTCGCGTCTTGTTCAGGGGGTAGCCCATGACGACCCTGTACAGCACGGACGTGGCGTAGCGGTAGTTGTGCGCGAACCACGTGTCGGGCTCCGAAGATACCGCCGCAGCATGTCCACGCTCTCGAGCTCCTGCATGCCGGCATAGACCTTGAGGTTCGACCCGCTGAGCAGCTGGTGCATCACGCGGCGTCCCTCTCGCCATTCTTCCTCCTGCCGGATCACCGTGCGCTTCCCGTTGCTCACGAGATCGCTGGCCACGGGCATGTGCGGTCTCTCGTTGGTGATCTTGCCTCTCTTGGCTATGAGTTCCGACACGACGCGGTCCGAGTTGAGCACGACCCACGTCCTCGAGCCCATGTGCAGCGTCACCATGTCGCCGTACGGGATCAGGGACGCCAGCTGCCGGCGCGTTTAGATCCAAGGCGCGCGTTCTGCTGGCGGGGGCAGCGCAGTGACAGGTGGGAGACTCACCCACTTGTTGAACGACAGGGCGCCGCGACGGGCTCTCATCATCTGTGGCAGGTTTCCCAGCACCGGAACGCCCGGCGGTCCCGGCGGCATGGCCACTCTCTTCGTGCCGAGCGACCATTTCAAGTCGGCCGGTTTCAAGAACTGCGCGAGCGCCACGCAGCTGCTGCCCAGGAGGAGAAGGAGACCCAGATAGGGGTAGAATGAGGCTTCGACGGAAATCATGCTGGCAGCCACCACAGTTGGAGGAGACGACGGCATCGGTGATTTTGGTTCTCTTGGGGATATGGAGAAGGGGAGAAACTTTGTCGGTGGGTTTCTCGCACCATGACTATCGCCCTGGTTTGGAGGGGTTCCCTATGACAGTAAAGCAGTTCCGCTCTGTTCAGTGTAGAAGCTTAATCTGCGGGGACCTGAGGAAGCGTGTGGCCGTCACTACGACGTTATGCAAGTGAGCTGGAACGCGCACTTCGGGGCAACTGTGATGCCCGGTCTGATGCATGTGGTACGCCAAGGAGGACCTGAGGTAACTATTAGTGTCTATGCAGTTATCATTGCCCGGAAGAAATGGCCGGAAAAGATTGTCTATCAACGCCAGCCAACCTCGCCCAGCCTGATGAACCGGGCGTACCTTGCTCATCCGCTCGGGTCCGTCTGCTCCGCGCGTCCACGCATCGAGGATGATCACAGCAAGATGCCTGTGGGAGCTGAGATTCATAGTTGCCCGGAGGTGCGTGATTTGTCCCACCTGCATACTCTGCCGTGTTGGTGCAGACCGTCCAGCCCTTTCGAGATGCCTGGAATTCCGTGTGAGCCGGCCGAATAGCCCCCCCGGATATGGCGGTTGTAGACTTGGTCGTGTTTCCTGCAGGTGTTCAATGAGACATGCACCTACAGGAACCCCCCATGCTCGGATCGTGCGCGGGTGATGGATGCCAGTTGGGTACGTCTCGAGATGGTCTTGTACATCCTCGCCGTAGCGCTCGCCAGCTGTAGCATGGGATGTGGCAGGACTTCTGGAGTCCTAGCATGGCTGACAGAGTTGCCTGGGTGCCTTATGCTCAACGACGTTGCGTGAGACGTGTTCTCCTATTTCTTCTCGTCAGTCAAGCTTTTCCATAAGAACCACGAAGTGCTGTCTCCAGATTGGGAGGATGTAATGGGTACCTCAAGTATAGCGGGTGCTTTCATCGACGCCTTTCCCCTCAAATTGAATTATTCTGCTGCCGAACTGTGCCCCTTTCCTCTGTTTCTGGAACAACATGGTCGCTCCACCACGCACGTTTACGGATTTACTCCTATCGCATTGGCGCGATACCTCGTCATCGTCCATCGTCCAAAGGCTCCGCTGGAAGTCGGCGGAGGGGACCTGACCATCGCCGATGTCGTGGCAGTATCGAGGCACCTGGCACGCGTGGCGCTCATCCCGGCGTCCATCGCCGCCATCGAAGCGGGCAGCAAAGTCATACCGGAGAAGCTCACCCAGGGCGAGGTCATCTACGGTGTCAACACGGGGTTCGGCGGCACTGCCGATGTACGGTCCGACGACGTCGAGGGAGTCCAGCAAAGCCTGATCAGCCACTTGACGTGCGGCATCGTCGCGGACGGCAAAACGGAGGATACGGCCCTGGGCCGCAGTAATGGACATGCAGGCCGAAGCACGCCGAGGCCATCCGTCATCGCTGTGAGAACTCGATCGGGCAGCTCGCGCAGAAACAGCAACGAGAATCGGCGCGGCCACCGCATCCCCCGGAATGGCGCTCTCGCGGCTACTCGCATGCCCCGAGTCATGGGCGAGGGCATCTATGCTCATCCGCCTGAACTCCCTGGCCGGCGGCGCCTCGGGCATCCGGGTCGACATCGCCGAGTCTCTGGTGGAGCTCCTGAACGAGGACGTCGTCCCGCGCATCCCCCGTCCGCGGGAGCATCTCGGCCTCGGGAGACCTCAGCGCGCTGGCGTGGATCTGCGCGGTGATGCAGGGCAAGACATCCGCCACGGCCTTCAGCGGCCGGCGCGATGTCAAGGGGGCCAGAAGAGTGACGAGGGCCGACGCCGCCCTGTCGGAGGCCGGCATAGCGCCCATCGGCCTGCTCGCCAAGGAGGGCCTCGCCATTGTCAACGGTACGGCCGTGTCAGCCGGGGTGGCTGCTCTTGCGGCCCACGAGTCCCTCCACCTCGCAGCCCTGTCGCAGGTGCTGACGGCCATGAGCGTCGAGGCGCTGCGCGGCAGTGACGAGAGCTTCGAGCCCTTCATCGCGCGGGTGCGGCCGCACCCCGGGCAGACGGACAGCGCGAGGAACATCAAGGGCCTTCCTGGCCGGGGTCACGGCTGCTCAACCGGCACGACAGCCGCGACGTGGCGGACGCTGCGCCAGGGACCGCTACTCGCTGCGGACGGCGAGGCCAGTGGATCGGCCCCGTGCTCGAGGACTTTGGCCTGGCGTACGACCAGCTGACGGTCGAGATCAACTTCGGTGACGGACAACCCGCTGGTCGACACGGCGGCCGGCCGCGTGCTCCACGGCGGCAACTTCCAGGCGCGCGCCGTCACGTCGGCGGTCGAGAAGCTGCGCCAGGGCCTCCAGGGCATTGGACGCATGCTCTTCACCCAGTGCACCGAGATGATCAACCCAGCCACGAGCTGGGGCCTGCCGCCGAACTTGTGCTCCGATGACGCCGGCACCTCGTTCCTGTTCAAGGGGCTGGACGTTGTCGTCGCCGCCCTCGCCTCGGAGCTGGGCTTCCTGGCCAACCCCGTCGGCTCGCACGTCCAGACGGCTGAGATGGGCAACCAGTCCCTCAACTCCCTGGCGCTCGTGTCGGCCCGGTACACGCTCGAGGCCGTCGACGTGCTGTCCCAGATGGCCTCGGCCCAACTCCTGGCGCTGTGCCAGGCCCTCGACCTGCGCGCCATCGAGATCGAGGGGCGCAATGACGACGCTTTGCCGCCCAACGCGACGCCCTACATCGGCCAGGCCTCGCGACGCATGTACCGCTTCGTCCGGAAGGAGCTCGGTATCCCCTTCCTGGCGAAGCGCACCTGGCGTCGGCGGAGGCTGTGACGCCGGACGGGGTCACGCCGAGCATCGGGCTCTATAATACGCGGGTCTACGAGTCCATCAGGTCCGGACGACTGTATGCCGTCGTTCTTGAGATCCTGAAAGAGGCGGAGCAGCAGCGGCCCACGAATGGAAATCACGTTTAAAACACGCCGGCTTATCATGCTACGAATCCACAGGTATTGTCGGATATCGGCATGTGAAGAAGACCGAGAGCACAGAGGAGTGGTCGTATATGTACAAGGTAGATACACAAGAGCAGATTTCTCATTTACACCGGAGAGACAACGGCATGGTCACAGTGACAGACTCCTGACAACAAGCAAGCAGCCGCCGGGTTGACGGGGAGTAGTGGCCCCCAAGGCGGGCGCAGAGGACAGGCAGCAGCAGAATATCAATCAGACAGACCCTTGTTCGCATGAGATGACGGTCGCGTAGCCTCGAGTCCGGCGGGCGGCAGATATGTGAGTTGCGCAGCCACTTCCGTGGTCCATCCTACTTGACCAACCGTGTATGCGTGTTGGACGCTCGGTTCGTCTTCAACCCACCCACACCCACCTACGCCGCATGCGGATTGCGGCACAAGACGAGTTGCTTTGAAGGGTCGCCACCCATGCACTGATAATGATGCCAACTCCTTGCGGAAGGATGTTGCCAGGGTCTTCCGCCGCGTGGACTACCCAGTAAGGTAGATACAACAGCCTGCCCGGCGGCAACACCCTGGTTCCCGATCAGAGCTAATGAACTGTCTAGATCTGCTCTGCGTGTTCTCTCAACGACGGCTATGGTTGGTGGGGGTTGGTAAGCCGCATGCATGGCCGAGATCATCCTCTCACTGTCACATGTCGGATGCCAGCGTGTGCCGTTGTCAGACATACAGACCAAACATATCGGTCAAGTTAGAGTACCACGGAGAACTAAGCTGCTGTGCGTAAAATGGCGCAAAGGATCAATGCAATCTGTGTACGGTCCCTAAGCGTCTACGATGGCTTGTCGCTTGCCGCACAGGCCGGCATCGAGGACTGGCTGGCCGGGTGCCATGCGTGAGAAAGCCCTGCCATTTGGAGGTTTGCTTGTGTTTCCACATTTTGACCTTACTATTTTGACCTAGGTACTATTTTGACCTAGATACTATGGCGGGTTTCGATTCCGTCTTCGCGAGCCTTGTTCAAGAATGCTTCCCATGCCTCTCTACCACTTTCGGCGGCATCATACTCCCAGAGCCACCGGAACAGCCCATAGTCCGCACCCCCGCGAAGTCCCGCATCGCGCTCCTCCTGGCCTGGGCCATCTAAAAGGGCAAACATGGCCTTCTGTTCCAGTGTGCGATGTCGGACGTCTGAAGCTCGTGGTTTGCGGACCTCCTCGAACACCCGGAGAGCATCGGGAATCTGGTCACGGCCCACCGGCTGGCTGAATATCGCTCCCAGTACGCCTGCATCTTCAAAGGCCTGCGCGGCCCCCTGCGCTCTGAGCAAAGAATCATCAGCTTTGGCAGGGAGATTGCAATCCTTTGATACTCACAAGCACGGCAATATCGCGTGAGCGGCGTCGCCAACCAGCACAAATCGCCCACTCTCATGGCGCCACTGGATCACTTCATGGATCTGGAACAGAGTCCACTTGGTGCAAACAGACCCTGCAACGTTGAGGAGCTCGTGAAGCACGGGGTCCCAGTTTGCGATCTTGCGCCTGAACTCGTCAAGGTCTGCTCGTTGCGGCCCGTACATGACCTCACCGCCTGCACCCTCGGTGTGCACCAGAACCATGTTGAGCATGTCGTGCTGAATGAGGTACGAGACGACGTGACCGCCTGGTCCCATCCAAAAGTTGACGCTGCATCTTCTCTTCTGGTCCCAAGCGGGATGGCCCTCCGATATGTTCTTGGTAGGGACGGAGACCCGGTACACGACGTCGCCAGGACTGTGAGGAGGGTCCTCACGGCCTAGTAGGATGCCCCTGCAGCGGGACCTCTCCCCGTCTGCACCCAAGATCAGATCCGCCCTGTAGACCTCGCCATTGGAAAGGCGTAAGGATGGCTTGTTGAAATCAATATCTCTGACTTCGCTGTTCAGTCTGAGAGTTATGCCATGCCCCCCCATCCCCGACAGCAAGGCTCTCAGGAGGTCCGCACGGTGAATCACGATGTAAGGGGCCTCATCACGAACCAGTGTCGGATGAGATACAGGTGGCGACTGTGAGACCACCTCTCCTCGATAGGAGCGGAATGTCCCGGCCTCTGGTTGGGTTGCATATTTGAGGACCTCCTCGAAGACGCCCCAGCGCTGAAGCAGACGCGTCGCATTGGGGGATAACTGTATTCCGGCACCAATCTGTTAGGCCGTGTTAGAAACTTGTACATGCGGAATGCAGAGAGCGCCAAGCTACTTCTTGTAGTTGAGCGCTTCGCTCAAACACTGTCACACGATGACCGGCCTGAGCAAGAGCCAGTGCGGAAGCCAGGCCACAAAGACCACAGCCCACAATGAGGACCGAGAACTGGGGCCGAGGATTGCATGGATCATTCATGTTGAAGATGAAGGATGAACGGTTCCTATTGCCCCCTAGAATCCACGGAACCAGCACGGGTGCTGGCAGCTTTTACACTGCGGAGCTCACGCCAGACCATCTGCAGCCAGGGCACCAGGATGAAGGAGCCATGTATTCCCGTGACTTACTTGACTCGGCTGTTGAAGTGCTACCCGGAGATACAGGCCATGCCTGGTCGTACGTCACGGAAGGAATCCCATTTAACAGCGACCCTGGCTTGGGGGCCCGGCAGGGAGGGGGGAGGGGCACGTCCTTGGCCTCACAGAGGTTCATTGACTATCCCGTACCTGCCGACGTTCCGCAAGAAGGCCCTCCCCCCTTCATGCACTCCGAGCACGCGCGGGATAGGTCATACAGGGTATGTGCGAAGTATCTATTCATGTCTGTACACTCAAGCCGCCACCGTGTTGGCTCCGTTCTGCGGTCATTTTTATACAAAACTAGGAATCATTGAACAATGACTGATTACCGAAGACAACTTTTCGCGATAGCCAATGTTGCATCATTGACAAGGTCGTCTTGGGCCCAGACAGCCTGCAATATTCTCTTGCAATAGGTCAAAGACGCGACAAGCTCATCTTCTCTGTCCTGGAGATGACGTCGAGGACGGCGGCCCGTTGCTCATCTGTTCGCGCTTCGCAGCCAATGACGTGAATCGGGAATTGCTGCTTGCAGAAGCTCAACCGAGGGAGGATAGCGAATGCTTTGTCGATATACTGTTGCGTCCTGACTGGTTGGTCGATCAGGTCCTCAAAACATCGGTCAAGAAACAACAGTATCGCGAGTTGGTACAGTTGCATAACCAATGTGGTGTCATCTGAGGCATCATTTTCATCATCCGGGATTTTCGGTATCGACAGGCTCCTAATCCTCCAGTCCAGGACTTCCAGGAAGCTCTTGTAATCACCCACGCCGCCGCTTGTTTCGAGTAGGATTGCGCTGCCAGATACCGCATCGCATACTTGGGACAACAGATCCAGCATACAAAATATGGGCGGCGGCAGATTAGATACCTGGAGAGCTCGGATGTTAGGCTGACTCTGCGTGGCGTCATGGAGTCTCTGTCCTAGCACGAACCTGTGAACAGAAGAGGTCTGTTGGGGTTGGCGGTAGGTCCGGGGAACCACCTTTCCTCCAGTGCAGTAGGGAAAAACGAGCGAGAACGTCGTGGTAGTTTACCCAGTCCAGCAGGACGGCCACATCGGGGCCAAGCTGATGCAGCATCTTAACAGAGCACGCGCCGAAGACCGCCTTGACACCATGAAGGTAGAAGGGCCAGTGGCCCGAAGTGCAAGACGACTGGTGGATCTCGAACGAACAAAGCAGCATGCCCGTGGCGGCATGCTGCAGGGTCGCCTCCACCCCCAAACTCGGCGCTCCTGGTTCTTTTGCCAGACTTCCCAGCGCAGCGACTTTCAGCTCCAAAGCTTGGGACTGCAGGCCGTAGCGGTGAAGCGAAGAAAAGGCCATCAGCGCTTGAAGCACCGGCGCAGCCGTGATCGTCTGCCCTTGCAGCGCAACCCGGACCAGAGCACACCCAAGAGCGGTGTTGTTGCAGCCAAAGGTAGCAAGGGACATGGAAGCTACACAACAAACTGTATACGTGAGTGATACACGAAGCCGTCAGCTCTGCTTCCCCTGACCACCAGACCAGTGGGCGGCTTTCCTTGATTTACAAACATACAGTATTCCAGCAGGTCTCGGTCAACGGCTTCCAGTTTAAATGGATTCCAGAACATCGGGACGCTGAGCGAGGGCAGGTTGTTGCGTGCCGGAACAGAGCTCGTCAGGCTGTGATGCAACTCAATGTCCCAATTCGACGTGTGGACAAACCGCGCGTCGGAGATCAGGCCCGGGGCGACGGGCGGCCTGGATGGCAGAGGCAACTTGAAGACGACGGCACGCCGTGGATCGTTGGGGCGCGGCCAGGACAGCCTGAGGCCGCACCCTGGGCATTTCCGTCTGGATCGGGAGCAGTGCGTGCAGGCTTTCCTCTCCTTGGCACGATCGCAGCTGGTGGTACGACCTGGCCGGGTTAGCGGTCTTCTTGCTTTCCTCATAGGTCCTACACGTACCTTACCTTGGCATGCGTGACTCCTGGTTGGGGCTTTTACTGTCTGCAATTCCTCCATGGTCAGGGGGCAGTAGTCGTCGATGAGCAAATCAGAGATGCGAAGACCCAACAGGAACAAGCGAGGGTAGAGACTAGTGGCGTCGACATTATATCTATGAACTTACTTCTTCTCAAAATTTGGCGTTGCATTGCGTTTTGGGAGATTAGGCGTACATTCGAAGCACGTTAGTCGGAATTTGAATGAGGCGATGGGCTAAACTCTCCCGCCCTCGTGCCTTGCTCCAATCTGCAGACAGGCCTTTCATGTTGGTGATGTGAAGAAGACGTTTGGAGGAGCGATCGGCTGCATGGTAAGGAGGAAGCGGGGTACATAGCCGTGTCCCTGGGCGACTCTACCAACATGATTTGGGGTAGATATATGCGGGAGTGGGTGTGTGTCTATGCGTGATTAGGCAGGTAAGATTGAAAGGGAGTATCACCAACATAGCATGCATGAGCAGGCAACACAAGGATTCAGCGGGTAAACCATAGTGTGTGGCAACTGTGCGATTATGTGGTTCGCATCGGAAAAGCGTAGTAAGGCATCTCTAAAATAGCAGTCGGGGGGGGGGGACTGCGCGCTTGACTTGGCATAGCTCAGCTTCTCGGCAGCCCTCCCGAAATGCACGTCAGACGGCCAAGCAGCTCGGGGTGATATCTCCGGGGGCATCTGGTGCGAGTGACGAGGCAGAACGAGCACGTCAAAGGCCCATGAGATGAAGAGGTGAAGTACAGCGCTAGAAAACCCGCATACAGCACCCCTCTGATGATGCGATTAGCTAGAAATGAACCCTCCTCCTCGGTATCCAGCTGGTTGTCGTAACTTTCGCTCCGTTGTCCTTTCTCTTGATCATATCTAAAATGGTGCGAGCGTGGCAACTTTGGCTGTCGCCGCGACCGCAGCATCGTAGCAGAAACAACTCTCAGCCGGCCTTCAAGCATCTCGGTGACGCTGCGCTGTACGAACCTCTCTCGAGACCTGACGGCCTTTGGTACGTCAGAGAGACGCATTACATAGAGAATCCACTCGTTCGTGCCGGACTGACTGGACCCCCACTGTAAGTGAGAAACATCAGGTCTTGACAGTCAGGAAACGAGACTAATCAGCACGAATGGCAGACACATCCATCGCTTACAGGATGAACACTTCAAGGTCGAACAGGGCGTGTTGGGTGCGGTAAAGAATGGGGTGGAATACGCCATTACCAAAGATGACGGAGTCTTTCACATTCCCGCCGGCACGCGGTGAGTTGCAATCCCAGGGACTACGTGTTCCGCATGCTTGCTTCGAGAGCCGCCTCGACTGACCAACAGCGCTTTTGGGCCTGAAGCCATCGATTTTGGTCTCATAGATCAGCCAAGGAAACTCTCGTCTTCTCCGTCTGGCTGGATCCCTGCAAAGATACTGACCATATTCTTGACGTGAACTTCCTCCGTAACCTTTCTGGGTACGTCGACGACTGCCTCAAGGCAGACTTGAAGCCGTCCGTCTTTCAGATTATTCTATTCACCGAGCATGCATCCTCCCTTCTGTGCCCGCCATTCCTGAATTGGATGCCGGTTTGGTTGCTCATTTGGGTACACTGCGGGCTTGCCTTGTTCGCAGAGAGTGTGTTAGGGTAAGCATCTGATCAACCCCACGAACCCTTGCATGAACCAGACCAAGCGCTCGCCTGCGTTTGCTGACGCTCTGTGAAACTCAGCTATGAGAAGTCGTATCCCGAGTACACCAGAAATTCGTAAAGGGTTCCATCCGTTGTCATGAGCGTTGCCATGAGCGTTGCTAGCTTGGTAAATAGCATATCAAATTGAATAATCGCAGGTGTATTTCAGCTAGCATCCTGTCCTACAAGGTATGATTGTGCCTGTTCTACGCAAAACTTGAGTGAAGAACAACGTGGACGTTTGAACAGTCCTTCGCCATTGAATCGTAGTCACCGGTTTCAACACGATATGACAAGATGAAAGGCCTTGACGCGGTGTTCAAGTAATCGGTTCATATGTAACACTTAGATGTGATAGGAAATGTTCTGTTCCTGCTGGAGGAATTTTCTTGCATAGGTAGGTAGGCTTCTACGTACCTACCCACCCTGTACATCCATATTTAATCAATCCGTCTTCCCCTCCTCCCATTTGAATTTCCTTCATCTGTGCCCAACTCACTTTACAGCGTGTAACCGGCAAACACCATGTCTCTCCCCGTCGAGCAATTTGTCATTCCCAGAGGCTCGATCGTGCTTGTCACTGGTGCCAATGGCTTCATTGGATCTAATATTGCCGACCAGTTTCTCAAGCTCGGCTATAGGGTCCGCGGTACTGCTCGTAGCCCCGAAAAGCACGCCTGGGTCGGCGCCCTCTTCAGCAAAAAGTACGGCCCAGGAAATTTCGATTTGGTGGCTGTGCCGGACATGAGCGCGCAGGGTGCCTTTTACCAAGCTGTCAAGGGTGTCTCGGCTGTCGTCCATACAGCATCCATCTTCACCATGGACCCGAATCCTCACAATGTGATCCCGGGGACGATCTTGGGAACAGTCAACGCACTGGAAGCGGCCGCCCGGGAGCCAAGCGTGAAGCGCTTCGTCCTCACATCTTCTTCCACTGCCGCTTTGATCCCAAGGCCTAACAACCCCCTGAAGGTCACCACTGATACATGGAACGACGAGGCTGTGGAGTTGGCGTATCGCGACCCGCCCTATGAGCCGCAGCGCGGGCTCCCTGTATACGCCGCTAGTAAGGCCTTGTCCGAACGGGAGGCTTGGAAGTTCATGGACGAGAAGAAGCCTGGTTTCACCCTGAACGCCGTTCTGCCCAACATCAACTTCGGCGCGAGCCTCGACTCTGTCAACCAAGGTCACCCTTCCACTTCGGCCATCGTTGCAGAGCTCTTCAAAGGAAATACCACCTACCTAGGTGGAATCACGGCTCGTAGGTTCCACCAGTGTGCACCACAAAAGAGGCAAAGAATGACAGACGCTAACCCGCAAACCCTAGAGTACTTTGTCGATGTGCAGGACGATGCCCTGCTGCACTGCGCTGCCGTCCTTCATCCCGATGTTCAGTCCGAGCGTGTGTTCGCCTTCGCCGAGCCTGTCAACGGGGACAAAGTTCTGGCTGTTCTCCGCAAGCTCTATCCCAGCCGCAGCTTTCCCGACAACTTCCGGGCTGAGGAGGATTTGACCGATATTGCGCCCCGTAAGCGAGCCGAGGCTCTATTGCACGATTTGGGCAGGGACGGATGGACAAGCTTGGAGGAGAGCATCAAGGGAAACACGGAAGACCTTGTTTGAGGTGTGAGGCGATGCGGCGAATACGATGGCTCGCTTGGTTGGCTCGGGGGAGGTAGTGGTTGCCCCAAGGCAACCTGCGCCGATTCGTGTTATGCAGTGCAACACTGAATCCTCGAAAGGAGCAGGTCTATGAATGTATTGACGTTCCATTGCTGTTGGCAGTCGGCCGGTGATTTCCACCACTGTGATTCCTCTATTCTGTTTTGTGTGGGGGGAGGGGGTTCCGGCTACGCCTCTCCATCCAGGGTTAGTACAGCCTGGACGGGCGGGATCTTGCATGATCTCACCTGCGGCGGGACACAATGCGGCAGCATGGAGGCGTGGACCCTGCGGCATGACAATTGACAGCCGCTCGAGTCCGCCTTTTGACGCCGGGTGATGTGCCGAGGGGTAATTACTGTATGCAGTCATCCTTGTCAGATTAGAGCCGCCCCAACCACTCCGTAAATACAGAGCCTGTCCTCACAGACGCCGAGCTCATGCCGCCCGGTCACTGAGCTATGTGATTTATCTCGCCGTGCGCGTATATGCAGACCAGACCGTGAAACTTGCCCCCAATCTCCTGTGCCACAAGACATGCAGCGCATGGTATGCCTACAGTAGGATAGAATGGGCTCGAGTATACTGCCTCCAGTCAGCCAAGAAGTATCAGGACATCATGATACATCGATAAAGAATGGGCGTGGGGGGCTCGAGGCTATGATGCGGAACATACAGCCGACTTGGCACAACCCCACACCTCCAGGAAAATCAGATTCATCCAGACGTGATCTTGAGGAGGATGGTCCATGCAATAATGAACCTTCCCACGCAACAGCGGAGAGTCTCGTGCTCGGATTGTTCGTGATGAGGAAAATATGGTGAACCCCACCGTATGACCCCAGAGAAATGTAGGTGGAATGTCGGCTCGCCAGGAGGGGTGCGCATGTCATGTCTGGCTCATTGGTTGTCGGAACGGGGGGTTTCCATACATATCCGATGTCCCGCCTGTCTGCCGGTCTCTTCTGGCCCCCTTGCCCGCTATCATCTTTGATTCTCTACCCTGCTAGCTCACCGCGGTCTACGATAGTGAGTTGAGAAGGAAGACAGTGTAAATCACCCTCAGTCAGGATGGCTCTGCACGGGTTTACCTCATGTCCTCCAAAGACGACGACAGACCATCCTATCAAATGCACAGTGGAGCACCGCCGTAAAGATGGTGTACACGAAGAAATCTTTATGCATTGGTTCACTAGCCAATTTCTTCCTCGGGCGGTCGCTGTTTTGAAGAAGCACAATGTCTTGAAGTATGCAGTTGTAGGTGACTGCAAAATAATCACCTTGACAGGATGCGTCTCGCTGACACAATTTCATGGCAAGCAAAAGATGGATAGTCAAGTCGGCGCGGCCTTCCAGGCCGAGGCGGGCCAAGTGCGACCTGGCTGGAAGGTGAATGACTGCGATCTCGTGTTGGAGTATTGGTTCAAGGACATGGAGAGCTTGAAAAGCCTCGCCTCTGATCCGGAATGGATTCAAACGGCCCTTGAGCCTGGGAATGACTGGTTTGATATGTCCGGACCTACCATTCGCATCGGTTATGATACGACATATCTAGAACATGGGGATATTGTCAATATAGCAGGTCGAAAAAGGAGAAGCAGGGTCACCGCCAGCTTCGACTGACCTGTTGATTCGTAGACTCGATAGCCCCCATTACCCCTTTTCTTCTCGAGAGCTTCAAATAAGTCGCATAAAGCACTGATGAGTGTATGAAATGCTTTAGGTATTTGTCTTTCTGGGAGTGGTTCAGGAAGAAGGAAAAACGGCGAGATTCCGCCACGTCATAGTCTAGACTCTGGGCGTCAGTCCCTGCACTTGGGGAGTCTAGGTGAACAAGAGGGCTTTGGTATTTGTTAAGTCATTGAGATCGCCAGGTGAGAAGTATTCCACCTTTCATTATCTGCATTCAATCCCGTCCTAAACCGAATTGATAAAGATATCGACAGTATGACTGATACTTATTTTATCAGAAACGCTATGCAGTCCCTGCCCCGTTACTATATCAAGGCAAGCGTCGAGATGCCTCCTTCAAGTGCCAGCCCGTCTCCAATCCAATTCATGCAGCCTGCCCAACCCGATCAGTCAATATCCGTGCTTCTTCGCAAAAAATTCGACCAAAAGCCCGGCGAAGATTGCGGTGCCAACATAGCTGCTGCCAGGACCAAACGCCCAAGCGCAGCTGTTGCCATCTTCTAAATCGACAACCCAGATCATCCTGGTCAACAAGAGAGCAGTTACGCCACAGGAAATGGCGTAGTATGATACCCCAAAACCTGCCAGTTGGCCCGCCGCGACGAGAAAGTAGACCTGCACGGCAGTTGCTATGTAGCAGGCTGGTTTCGTTCCCCTCCTTCCGAGACGCACAGCGAGTCCTTTGACACCGGCCTTCAGGTCATCGGTGTAGTCCTGATGAGCGTAAATGGTGTCAAAGATGACGGTCCAGATGATGCCGGCGAAATATAGGCATGCCGCTGACTGGGCCAGAGGTGCGCCGAGGACCTTGGACACGCCAGTTGAGAGGTCCAACGAAGACTGGTCCAAAAGAGGTGCTAACGGGTCCTTGTCGAGCATTGCAGCTACCATAAACACAGCATAGGACAGCCCAAACCCCAGCTCAACTTGCGGGTAGTTTGTGCAGCGCTTTAGGAGGGGGTAGATGAACAAGAGAACGCCATCTACGATAGCGTGAGTCCGAGTCGAGTCGCCGAGGGGGTACAAGATGCAGGCCCCGAGGGCGATCTGTGCAGCAGTGAAGATATGCGCCTGCGCAGTCGTGACAGCGCCCGTGGGATGGGCCTCAGTCGGCAGCGAGTGACCTGACGATCAAAGTCTGATCTAGGTGGTCGTGCCATGTGCAGGTAATGTCGCGGAAGGTATAGGCCATAGTCCTAAATACGCTGCGAGGAATCAAACGTCTTCAGATCAAGATCGCTGGAAAAAGGGGGGGGTAGTGATGGCAAAAAGAGGTCGTATAAAGTATGTCAAAAGAAAGGCCCCAGAAACCCCTGACAGGGGGGGATATACTCGTGATGTTTGATGTATGGGACCATTGCGGATGGGAGTGAGCGGAGTATGCCCTTGACTATGCCTGCCTCTAGATTTTGACTTCATCCATGACGGAGTAAGAGAGTGGTACTCTCCGAAGTATGATGGGCAGAACTGATGCGGAATCTCTAGGGTCGCTAAATGTTTGCTGACTTCCCAAGAATGCCGCGGGCTGAAGGATCGAAGTGAAAAGGGATGTCGTGGCATTACTGAGGCTGAAGAGACCGGACCTATCACTATCTTTATCATTCATCATCGCATTCTTATCAGGTAGAGCAGAGTGTGTAGACGTCTTTGGCCTAATGTGTTCCCAGGAGCGACAAATCAGGGCATATGCACGACAATGGCACAGAAGCAGCAAGGGGGTCTGACTTGAGATCATTAGTTGCCTTACAGGCTTTGTTCCGGCTTGCCTGCATAGATCAAGGGAGGGGGTGAAAACACCGGTCCGAAATGATAGCAGCCCCGCTCAAGAAGGCTGCAGTCAGCAAGTAAATTTTAGGAGCAGGCAAGTATGCGCCCGAATCCTTCTGATAGTGCTATTGGCTTGTATTATGTAAAGTCACGTCAGATTCCTAGAAATAGCAAGTTTATAATCCTTGCCCGTTGGGTGAGGCGGCCCGTACCGGGAGGGAAAAGAATTCATTTGGGGGGGTGGGAACTGTCTGCGCCGATGTTGTATGGCATGGTACATGTATGTCAGTTCTCGGTCCTGTTGAGTGTAAACCAAGCGAGATGCTCGAACTAACCGCAGCCCCGATACCACCACAAGGTTGATCACCACAATACGACTCTCGCAATGAAGGCCTCGATACTATCTCTGTCTTGTATTTTCTGGGTCCTTGCAGCGGGTGCCAGCGTCCCCAGATACTTTGAGAAGCACGCGATCACACGTCGTGACTTGACTGCCAAACAAATCAGAGAGGAACTCGGCCTCCGGGTATCCAATACCACCTTGATCTTCGGACCAGAAGCTTGCCGGTTCGAAAAAGCCACTTCCAGATGGACGGACTCTTCCAAGCCTGATGTCCAAGTTGTGATTGAGCCAGGAACTGAATCAGACATCGCGACAATTGTAAGACCTCAAACCACCACCGACTACAAGGAGAGATCCCGCATGCTGACACTGCTTCCGAAAGGTCCAATACTGCAACGCGAACAGCATCGAATTTTTGGCCCTCAATGGCGGACATGGCGTGGCGGCAAGTCTTAGCACATTCAGTGGCATCCAGATCAGCATGCGGCAGCTCGACAACATCACCATCCAACCCGGCGGCAAGTCGGCCTGGTTCGGAGGCGGCACCGTCGTAGGCCCAGTTATCCACCATCTGTGGGACAAGGGCTTTGTCACTACCACCGGTGGGTGTGAATGCGTCGGCATGCTAGGCGCCGGTCTTGGGGGTGGTCACGGCCGTTACGAAGGCCTGTACGGTATGATCAGCGACAATATGCTGCAGCTCAACGTTGTCTTGGCCAACGGCTCGACCGTCCGCACCAACACTACGAGCCACAGCGACCTTCTCTGGGGCATGAAAGGGGCCGGGCACAATTTCGGCATTGTCACGAGCTATGAGATGAACATCTTTCCCCGGGGCCCCGAAACCTGGCATTACCACAACTACATCTGGCGCGGTGAACAGTTGGAGGCTGTCTTCAATGCCCTCAATCTTTTTCATGGCAACGGCTCAACTCCCATTGATATGGCCTTCAACGTTGGAACTTTCCTGATGGACGCTTCCGTGAGTAGTAAGGAGCCTGTTCTCTCTTGGACGTTTGCCTATCGCGGCACCTCTGAGGAGGCCGAGAAACATCTCGCCCCCATGAACGCTATAGAGGCCGCCTACGAGGAATTCGGTGACGTACCCTACTCGCAGATCGCCCATGCGCAGGGCACAGGCATGTCCGACCCCATCTGCCAGCATGACGGTGTGCATATCTCGTCGACAGCAGGTCTCCAAGTCTATAACCTGACGGCCGAGCGCCTCATTTACGAGGGGTTCAAGATGCGCGCGATCGAAGACCCAGACCTCGCGGCTGTGACAGGCATCATGCACGAAGGCTACGCGACCGCCGGTGTCGAGGCCATTGACTCGGCGAGTTCGGCGTACCCCTTCCGCGCCGACCGCCACCTGATGTTCTTCAACGCGGCCGTAACAGACCGCGATAGCGCCCTTGAGGAGAGGGCCAGGATCTGGGCCGCCGAGGTCAGTGACCAGTGGAACGCGGGCCAGCCGGGCCGCACCAGCAATGTGTACCTCAACTACGCCACCAGCTTCGAGACCCTCGAGGAGCGGTACGGCCACGAGAGCTGGCGCATCAAGAGGCTGCGAGGCCTCAAGGCCCAGTATGACCCCAACAACCGCTTCCGCTACTACAACCCCATCGTGGTTGAATAAAGCAGAGAGCACAAGCCAATTGTACGTACTCTAAAGGGGTGGCTGAGAGGAGTATTTGAAGAAACTTGTACGCTTTCCAAGGTTTTTCTTCGGCTTGCGAGAATTTAAAACTCCCAATATTTCATCACATGTGAGCGATATGCTCGGAAAAAACTATGACCAACAGTTCCCTACTTGCGTGATCATTTTACACTTTTCCACTCGTGATGTATGTGGTCGCTTCAGACACAGAAAGATACCAAGCATGGATGAACAATGGCGTGACTTGCCTGACGCCAGCCCTTAGACCGATAGTGCGGTGGTCAACAACACCGACGAATTCTACAATGATGTGCTTTAATGTCAATCGAGAGTGATGCCGCCTCGTCAGAACAGGGACACAGTCACCAACGAGAATGTATCGCATTGCTCACTCAAACTCGGATCATCAGGCGTAACAATACTACGCGCCGTTGAAACCTAGCCTTCTTTCGAAGCTCACGCTGCTTGATTTGACTTAATCCAATGGTTTGCCAAGACAAACAGTAAGCACAACAACAACATTCAAGCTTAGGCAGCTAGCAGCGACGTTGTAGCGTATGTCGTCAGGCGCCTTTTGCTGGCTTTTTCCAATCAGCTATCTGCTTTCCTATGACATAGAACAGGTACCATCATCAGTATAACCCCGGCCCTGATTATCCCTTACTCTTCGTTGGGGGTGAACACAACAGATCGACCAGCGTTAGACTCCGTCCCAGCTACTTGCAACGCTTCGGCAAAGTCCTCCATCTTGAAGGCCCTGTGGATCTTCAGACCCGCCTTCTCGCCCAGCTTCAAAACTCCCGTCTGCACAAGCTTGACGAGATCCTCCTCTTGACTCCAAGTACACATCATTGTCGCCCGAACGGTAATGCCCTTGAGTTGGAGGAGCGGGATGGGTATCGAGATCTCGGGCACGCCGCTCATCAGGTTAGCCCGTCCGCCGGCCTGGAGAGAGAGCATCCCTGCGCGAATGTGGTCGGTGTTCGTGGCCGTCTGCGGAGTCATGTCGAGGAAGACGTCGACAGGGCCGAATCTCGAGATCTCGGATAGGTCCGTCTCCCAGCTGCCGCTAAGCTTGACCGTCTCGACCCGTCCCGGTGCCAGGTCCATGAGTTCTTTCAGGACCTTCTCGTTGCGGCCCATGGCGATGACGCGGGCCCCCATGGCGAGGGCGACGTGCACGGCCGCGCCGCCGAAGTTCCCCGTCGCCGGACTGATCAGGACGGTCTCGCCCGCCGTCAGGTTCACGTCCCGGAGGCCACCGTACGGAACGGCCATCTGTCCGAAGAATACGAGGTCGCGGGGGCTGACGCCGTGTTTCTGCAAAGCTCCTTCATCGAAGCGATGCACAGACTCGATGGGGGCCTTGACAAGCTCGGCCCAGGTGCCGTGGTGCCAGACGTCTTTGGCAATTGCTTGCATCTCACCTGTGGCAGCAAGTAGCGCCAGGAGCATGATCTGGCCCGGGTCGTCACGCGGGCGGATCGTGGGGTCGACAATCACGAGGTCGCCGACTTTCAACTTGGCGGCATCCGGGGGAACGGCGACGACGCGCCCTACCGCGTTGGTGCCGCCTACCAGAGGGAAGGGGACAGGATACTGGCGCGGGTTACCCCTGGAATAGACGTCGTTGATGTACCCTGGGATCCAGCAGTACAGTGTTTTCACGATGACTGACCCGACATCTACCGTAGGGGTGGGAAAGGAGGCAATCTCTGGGGGACTAGATGGCGACGTGAAGTGAAGCCCCTTGTAGCTGCTTGGGAGTTGGGTCAACGTTGTTGACGCCATTTTCGGATGTAGTACGAAGGCTTGTTGGTGACTTGGAGTGATCTCAAGAAGAAGGTAAGATAAGAATGTGAATATCGTGCGTGACAAGAAGACGAGGAAAGAGTTTGCTGTTCTTCAACTCTTCCAGAACCAGAATCAGGTCAACAAGTAAATAGCCGATTCCATGGTCCGGATCGCTAACAGATGCTCGGCATGGCGAGCTCGCGAGGGTATTCGACGGGGATTACACGCCTGTAATGTCGACAAGTTGTACATAAGGCTTGCGCATAGTTGCCTCGGATCCCCCTTGGTGCACGACTTGCATATGCACTACTACGTGGGGGTTTTCAGAGGTATAGGTACCTACTGTTCATCCCCTCTTGTTTTGCGAACAAAGGGATGCCGACGCAGCGCTCATCAACTTGGGAATGCCCAACCGTTGACCCCGTTTCCCGCCCGGCTAAATTTCCGCAGAGCAGGAGGAGGAGGAGGAGGAGGAGGAGGAGGAGGAGGCGCACTAAGTCACGCAATTCTCTCGGTAAGCACCCGGGTTCCGGTCCGATTGCTCGCCTTCACCGAAATGCCTTGTAAGCATGCGTGGGATGCAGATAGTGCAGTGTAACATCAAATGGGAAGAAAGGGTAAGTTTGCCCGCCTCCCCCTCTCCCCTCGTCTACTCTTGACAGGATGAATAGCCGCAGAAATGACTTGTGTGACGTACGACGCATGGTGCCAAGGTGTGTTGGAGGTAGGTCTGCATGCCACGGGGAACAAACACACCGAACTTGGCAGGTGGAAACAAAAGGACCATCCCATTCCATTAATAAGCGAACACTACTTAAGAACTTGACGTCTGACATGGTGGTCAGTCTGAAGTAGTGGTCCACCAAGTCATCGGAGTGGGAGAATATCGTGCACTCGTCGAAATCATCATGTCCGTGTACGTCATCACTGGAGCATCCAAGGGAATTGGGGTAAGTCTGCCTCTCGCCAGGTTACGTGCCACATGTACCTAATCCAGGCCAGTTCGAGTTTCTCAGGCAATTCTCAGAAGATTCAAAGAACCTTGTCGTTGGTCTGGTCCGCGATAAGGCTGGAACGGAAAAGAAGGTAGCGACGGAACTCGGCAGCCGTCCCAATGTCCACATCCTCCACGCAGACCTCACCAGGTACGCCAGCCTGAAGCAGGCGGCTGCCGACACGGCTCAGATCGTCGGCGAGCGTGGCGTCGACTACCTGATTGCTAACGGAGGCGTGGTGCCCCTATTCGACGTCTACGGACCGATCGGTGACTTGTAAGTGCACCGCTTTTCTCTCGCGGCTATCCGAGCTGGCATGTGTTAAAGGCTGTGTGTTCAACAGGAGCGACAGGCCCGAGGAGCTGGAGGCCGTTGGGTTAGAGCTGTGGCAGACCAATGTCGTTGGCAATATCCACCTCATCCACCTCTTCTTGCCCTTTGTTTTGAGGGGCAAAGTCAAGAAGGTCATCTTCATTTCCTCTGGACACGCCGACCTCGACTTCACCAACGCATTGGACGTTGATACAAGTCCGCTATATACTGCCTCCAAGTCAGCTATGAATGCTGTCATGTCCAAGTTCAGCACGCAGTACAAGAAAGACGGTGTACTTTTCTTGAGTATCAGCCCGGGCTTGGTGGAGGTGGGCCGCTATTCAGATGGTGAGAATTCCCTCGTCTCGATGATAGAAGGATGTCGTCGTGTTAATGTGTGCCCCAGCTACTCCAGAGCAGCTCAAGGGCTTTGCATCATTTACGGATAAGCTTCCAGCCTATGCGCCGGACTTCAAGGGTCCACTCACTCCAGAGGAATCTGTCCGACTTGTCACGGAGACCTTCGAGAAAGCCAGCATCGAAGGTGGGTTTGGTGGTGCGTTTGTATCACAGTATGGAAACAAGCAGTGGATATAGGCCCAGGGTCATCGTTACAGGCCTTCGAAGGTGCTGTAGCACTGCAACCAGTCATCTTCGACGGTGTATTTTCCTTCCTTCCTTCTGGATAGGTGCATGACAGGTAACCCGAAATTCATGATACGTATGATAACCCCCGAGTTTACGGTTGAGCGGGAGGACTCAACGGTGAATTTGTGCAAGTGTGGCTGACTTGTGCACGCTAAGCCACGATCCAAGCGCAAGGGTGCGCAGGGTCAGCTCTCAGTGTCAGGCGGCGGGGCTCCGGGACCGATCCAGCTGTGATTGGGCTGGTAAAACCCATCTTTGGGGTTCTCCTTCTCCTGCCTCCTGCCTCCCATTGTGGTCATCATGTGGAAGAGCGGCCAATGGGGGTACAGAAAGGACCTAGCTCAGGGGTTCTTTTCTTTTGGCCCCTTTTTCTACGACCGTGTTCGCCTGTCATGTATTCACACAGTCTGGCGGCTTTTGTTCTTCTTCTCCTTCCTTGCTTCTTCGGCACTTGCCTTGACCGAAAGCCTGACGTTGCAGCTTGGGGTGATTGCTGTTATTCAAGCAAGAGCCACTTCCCCCCCCCTATCAAAGCGGCGCCGAGGGAGAAGAACTCATTATACGTACAGGCCGAAGAAGGAGGGGGGCCACCGTCGACAAGCGGCAGATCCTCCCGCTGCGTACCCTGTGCCCTGCGCTGGGCCGAGTGTGTGCTATGGCGTGGTGTGTGGTGGGTGATCTGACCTACCAGCCTACAACCGACAGGCTTTCCTTGCCCCCGCCCCCCTCCCCCCTCTTTGATCCGATCGCGTTTGGCATCGATCCAGTCCCAGCGCACCAGAGTGGGTGCCTGGTTGCTAGACGGGCTGAGGGGGTTTCAAGCGCGGCTGTCAATTTACCTGCTGCACCACAGTCCACGAATAGGAGCCAGCGGTGTGACTTGCACGAGATGCTTGGCTGGACGAGCACGAATAGGGGCACACTTGACTCGCCTATGGTCTCGTAGGGGAAAGGTGAGCGACGACATACGCTCGTGCGTAAGTGTGGTTGTCAATTGAGTGAGAGGAAACGGGATGAACAGTCTGGTGATGCGGACTGAGGAGTGGTCTGGTGAGCAATTGCTCACTCCAGTTGATCATGAAAGAAGAGTTTGTCGTCTCGCCTTGGCGAATGGGTAAGACTCGATATCGGATCCTCACGACTTCTTGGCTTTGGGTAGCTCTCCAGCCAAAAACCAGGGAAACTTTGAACTGGTGAATCGCCCACAGCAAACCCCAGTTGAGATGGGCTTCCAACTCACGGTCGGTCATGTATTCGCTTTCGTGCTGTTGGGGTTGGTCAAAGGGCTACCAAGCCGAAGAAATATGATTCCAAAGATAGTTATGTGCCGGGGCCCACGACCCAGCTTCAAGTCGGTACATGTCGTTTCATATCAGGTTGACGTGCCTGAGATGGGAACCAGGGCCAAGGTAGCGCGTAGGGTACTGTGTCGTGCTGCTGTGGGCAGACGCCAGGGCGCCTTCCCCTGGTCCTACCGCCCTGGGTAGCGTCCCAAGTACCTTGCCTTGCTTCTCTGTTCGCACCGTGAGGAGGGCACTGTAGCTTCCCACAATTAGTGGATCGAGCAACACCGCACAGCAGACGACAGCCCATCGCCGTCCGCCTGCGTACAGTACCGTTCCACCAGTCGCTCTAAAAGCAAGGCATCGCACAGTGCTCACAACAAGGGGGGGGGGGGGTTCCGCCCCCTCAACCCATCCACACAGTCCCCAAGGCCAAGTTATATCTTGGCACAGGGGGGCAACCCCAAGCCCAAGTCCACGACCAAAAAAAAAAACTCTTTTCGACTTCCTCTTCCCACCCTCATTCCATTCTCCAGGGGCATCACCTCCTAATAAGGCCGTCTGTATATTGACACGCTTGCCCTTTTTTTGTCTTCCCTTCCCCTCCTCTCTCCTGGCCCCTCAAATACTATTCTGGGGAAGAAGGGACGAATTTGTATTTTGAGTCTGAAGAGACGTATGTCCTTTTTGGTCTCTGGTCCCGCTACGCCCGCCACCCATCGAATCGGTTTTCCCCCAAGTCGCCTGGTTCTAGGTGGCTCCCGGC